ATAAAAAACTACTTCAAGAAACCATAAGACATCTACATAAATGGAAGAACATCCCATGCTCATAGATAGGAAGATTGAACATTGTGAAAATGTCACTTCTACCCAAAGCAATCCATACATTCAATGCAAAACAAAGTAGGAGGTCTCACATTACCGGATCTCAAAACCTACTATACAGCCAAAGAAGTCAAAACTACCTGGTATTGGTTTAATGACAGATACACAGACCTATGGAATAGAATTGAGAACCCAGAAATAGATCCATCGACCTATAAGCTGATCTTTGACAAAGACCCAAAATCCATTAAATGGGGAAAGGAATGTTTGTTTAACAAATGATGCCGGCAAAACTGGCAATCCATTTGCAGAAAAATGAAACAAGATCTGTACCTCACACCATACACAAAAACGAACTTCAGATGGATCAAAGACTTAAATGTGAAACCTAAAGCTATACAGTTCCTCAAGGAAAATTTAGGGGCAAATTTAAGGGCCCTAATATATGGCCTAAATAGACTATCAAGCTTAACTCAAAATGCACAAACAGCAGAAGAGAAACCAGATGATTGGGACCTTCTAAAGACTGAATTTTTGTGCACTGCGGCAGAAGACATGAATAGACAATTCACCAAGGAGGATATTCAAGCAGCCAACAAACATATGAAGAAATGCTCACAATCACTAGCTATTAGAGAGATGCAAATCAAAACAACAATGAGGTACTATCTTGCTCCAGCACTAGTATCAAACTTCAACAAGACAGAAAATAACAAATGCTGGCGAGGTTGTGGAGAGATTGGGACTCTCATACACTGCTGGTGGGACTGTAAAACGGTACAACCATTGTGGAAAGCAGTATGGAGATTCCTTCAAAAGTTGGAATTAGAAATACCATTTGACCCAGCCATTCCATTACTAGGTATATACCGTAAAGAAGTGAGAGCCATGACAAGAACAGATATATGCATGCCCATGTTCATCGCAGCACTATTTACAATAGCCAAAAGATGGAAACAACCTAGGTGTCCATCAGCTGAGGAATGGATAACCAAACTATGGTAAAAACACAATGGAATACTATGCAACACTAAAGAATAATGTAGAATCTGCAAAACACCACGTAACGTGGATGAACGTGGAGGACATTATGCTGAGTGAAATAAGTCAATCACAAAAGGACAAATATTGTATTAGTCCATTACTGTAAAAGTTAAGGAAAGGTTTATCTATTGAAGGAAATTTTCTTTGTTGGTTACCAGGGGTGGGAGGGGAGGGGAGGGAACTCTGTTAGATAGATAGAGATAAGTATTGATTTGGGTGAAGAGAAGGGCAATGTACCAAACGGGAGTGACCAATATGACACCACTGAGGATGAGAAAAACAAAGAGAGGTACATGGGAGGTACAGACAACAAATATGAACCCTTTTGCACATACAGTACTGCATTGTCAGTGAAGGCAAACATGGGTATATGGATGGATAGATGGGTGGACAGGCTAAACGATTAGGTATGTCTATGAAATGGGGAGTGTATCCAACAACATAGATAGGGTTGGCAGACAATGGTCCTATAAGTTTATGTAATGATCAGAATCCCCAGGGGTATAGTAGAGCTGACAAGGGGCAAGGTTGTGGTCACTGCTTGGTCACAGCCAGCTACCCAGAGGGACCGAGGAGTTGAACATGCGGGCTTGGGACCATAGTCACAGGGGACATCAAGCTCAACTGGCATAACATACTATACAAAACACTGTTCCACCTCCTACTTTGGCGAGTAGCGACTGGGATCTTAAAAGCTAGCAAGCTGCCATCTAGATGCAACAATGGGTCTCTCCTCATCCAGAGCAAAGAAGAATGAAGAAAACCAAAATTCATGGAAACAATTAGTCCTTGCGACTGGTACACCATCCGATCTGCAGCCTATACAATTATGAGACCAGAAGAACTAAATGGTGCCTGGCTACCACTGTCATCCACTTGGAAGGAGATCTATGTAGAAGACCCTTGATAGAGAGGGCGAACAACATGGAACAAAACTCAAAATCATTTGAAGAAAAAAAAGGTGGGGACCAGGTTTGCTGGTCCGATAGAGCCTGGTGGAACCACTGAGACTATGGCCCCTAGCTGCCCTTCAGGTCTGGAATTGAACCCACACCTGTGTTTTCCAGCCAAACAAAATACAGGCATATGAGTTGAACACTTACCTCAAGTAGATACACTCCTTGGAGAGAATAATCATGGGAGAAAGAAGGGCTGCTTATGCACAAGGAGACAGCTCAGGGGCAGGAGTGTATGGAGGGATGGACACTGGGAAGAGGTAACTATGTGGTAAACTGTGGTCAATGACATGAGACAAAGTATATTGGAACTGCTGTATGGAAAGTGAATTTGCTCTATAAATCTTCACCCAAATCACAATAAAAAAGGAAAAAAGAAAAATAAAAAAATAATAATAAAATAAAATGAGATTAAGGTAGAATTAAATAGTTAAATGGATTGGCTTTGAAATCAAATTGATCTGGGTTCAAATTCTGTCTGTGATTTATGAGCTGAATGACCTTGAACAAAGCTTTTTAATCTCTGGGTCTTGGTTTCCTCATCTGTAAAAAGGGAGATATCAATTACTTCATATGGTTGTGTATGTGTTTGTGCACATATATGGGCATGTATCTATGTGTGTGTGTGTGTGTGCGCGCACACATATATGTTTGTACATACATTTCAACATTTAATAAAAGTTCATTGATATAAGTATTGCTTTTGGTATACAGAGTGGCAGGAGAAGAGAACTGTGTGAGAAAAAAGCAACTTAAATTTTTACTCAATTGTCTCAGTGAAAGAGGAATCCCAGTGCATGGCACATAGTCTAAAAACACTCTTTCATCATCTATACACCTAAATCCTCACTCCTTCCAGCCATAGTAAAAGCATGCATGCACTCACTCTTAAAATTTGCCCACCACTCTTAAAACTATACTTCTCAGCAATTGCTGGTTTCTGGTTTTATTACATTCTATACTTTTAAGAAGAAATAAAAGTGACCAGGCTACTGAGAAGTAAGCTCCATTTCTAAATAGATACTTTGGAGTAAATAAATGCCAGTTCTGTTATTAAAAAAACAAAGCAAAACAAAATCTCAGGGAAGATAAAGCAGTGAGGAAAAGTTCCCACTTCCAAAGAAAGACAAATAAACCAGGAGAACTGAACCCTGGTTACATGTGATACTCCTGCTTCTTATTGTTAGTTATTGTCGAGTTGGCTCTGACTCATGGTGACTTTTATATATAAAAGAACAAAACACTGCTCAGTCCTGTACCATCCTCATAATAATTGGTATGTTTCAGTCCATTGCTGCAACTGTCATGTCATTCTACCTCATTGAGGGCTTCCCTTTTTTTTTTTTTTTTTGTTGGCCCTCTACCAAACATGATGGCCTTTGCCAGTGATTGGTTTACACCTGCTACAGAGTTTAACTGTGCTTTGAGACCCAACTAGACTCTTCAGTTTCTTCCCAGTGAGAAACTGAAGCAGGGGCTCATCTGTGGCCCAAGACACGATGCAGTGGGCAAAATTATCACTTCATCTATCACAGGCCAAAATACTTCAAGAGAAGACATCCCAGGTCCAAGAGTGAAAGGCCCCAGGTGCTTAATATCAATATTCCTTATTTATCTACCATACTACTCCAGGAAACAGATCTCTGCCATCCAAAACTGGGTACTTATCTTCATTGGTCCACATAAATGGGTTTGACAGGATCAGAATATACTATTAAGCACAGTGTTATGGGAGCACATAGAATAGCAGTCAGCATAAAAGACCTAAGCAGGGGGAGAGTGGGTAGAGAGGGAAAGTTTAGAAGAACTGGAGAATGCATCAGAATTAAGTCATTCAGAGAAAGGAAGAAAGCATTTTAGGCACATGGAATAGCAGGAGGAAAGTCAAGAAAATGGGAGAAACCATGGGCATTATGAAACTATAGATAATCAAATATGGTAGAGGATAGTCTAGGAGAGTCAGCAAATTTTATGAACTTCCAAGAGGAATATTACTGGCTACTTTGACCAACAGTGCTTTCAGGAAACATAAATCATTGAATTCTAGAGTCAATTAAGAGCATATTACAGGGGATATGGGCTTAGACTTACTCTGCTACATCTATCTATCTATCTGGATCCATCAAGATTTAACATGTATTATAGTTATCAGACAATTTGAAGAAAAAGAGTCATGTCATCAAATAGTTTTACTTTTCACATAAGGACCTTCCACATACTGCCTAGCTCCCAAATAGCCACCTGACCAAACTACCGACCCTTTCCCGTACCAAAGTAATAAAGAAGGGAATGTGTCAGTTCTGCCCATTTCAATGGGTAACAGGTAATAACAAAAAATTACTCCTTCAATGCAGGCAATACTGTTTAGACTGTCAAGCATTTAAAATTAAACTTACCTATACAAGCAGTCCATATAGTCTGCACCCTTGCTATATTCTTCCCAATACCTATGATACATAACAAGTACTTGTTCTTCAGACTCCAGAACTCTCTATATAAAGGGGAAAAATATTTTCACTTGAAAATCACTCATCATTTTCACTGATAAGTATAAAATTTATCAAAATATAATGTTCTAAAATAACTTAGATAATGCAAGCTTTATGTATTTACAAATTATATTCTAATTTAACTACTTTTACTCCTAATAAACAATTGGAAAAAAATGTAAATCTGAAAAATGAAAGTGAAGCATTCATAACAAAGGGTAAATCATTTTCATTCTCCAAGATACAAGGACAAAATGTAATGGCCCAATGCTATCCTTGGGCTAGAAGATTAGTTAAAATGAGAAGAATACAATTCTACTGCCTTTTTCCTGAGTATTTCCTCAAAATCATTACTTTTGATCAGTCTGTACTTATGTAAGTATACCATCACTCCAGATTAGTCACTTTTGTGAATAAGACTGTTTATGGAAATTGATACTTTTTCCACATTCCCCAAAATAAAACTTGTTCTAATAAACACCAACTGGAGGAAATGTAATTTTAAAGTTGAACAAACCTTAATCTGAATCCCTGTTCCTTCACCTACTAGTTATATGATCAGGAGTAAATCATAGCGAATCTAAAAACCTAGTGCTTGATAAAAAATTTTAATACATATATCAAATGCTGTTTAAGAAACAAAACAAATAATTTGAACTTGAAGTTAAATTCAGCATTGAGGAAAACATTATAAATCAGCCAACTAACCATGCAACCATAAACACAATTTACATCATGTATCATTCCTTACCTTATGCAAATGCCGTACATGATTTTCCAAAAAAATTTTAGTTTCTGTATAAAGTCTTTCTCCAAGGGGTTCAGGATAGGCCACACATAAAGCATAGATATCTCTAGTTAACTTGTTAAGGTTTTCCTATCACTAGAAATATTTTAAAACATGAGATTTAACACAACTTGGGTATTAAAAACTAAAATATCTTTTTTTTTTTTTTTTTGCAGTTCAGGCTTATAATACATACATATAACAAAGGTAAAATATACAACCACATTTACTTTTAAAAAATACTGTAAGATTAATCTATTCATTCAACAAATATTTATTGAGAATCTATTGTTTGAAGGCATTATGAAGAAAATGGGTCCTCTCAGAAACATTAAAATTCAAAAATGATTCTTGGAAATTAATTTACCCACAAATCTACAAAATAAGAATGAATATAAGCACAGCATCAACAAAGGGCTACAAAATATCATGAGACACAGGTATGTCTAACCAGTCCTGCGAAACCGAACATTTACAAAAATTATTAATTTGACTTATTTTCCCATATCACTGTACTCAGGATATTCAAGTCTACACCTCACTGGTCCTTCAATATTTATTCTATTAGAAGAAACACAGTATGAATTATAATAGCATCAATTAATCAATCAAGGTTTTGAACAAGTCTTTCACCAGGCACCACCACTGGTAGATATGCTGTGGCAGAAAGAGCTCTCAATCAGGAGTCAGAGGAATTGAAATAAAATTGAGGCTTTACCATTTACTAGACAGTGATCTTGACCAAATCTCTTAACCTCTTGGATTGCCATTTAGTGCTGAAAGCACCTGACTGCTAACCAGAAGGCTGGCGGTTCAAACACACCAGTCACTCCTCAGAAGGAAGGCTGGGCAATCTCCTTCCGTAGTGATACCGCTTCGGAAGCCCAAGGAGGGATCGCTATGTGTCAGGTCCAACTCAACGGCTGTGAGCTTGGTTTTGGTTTTGGTAAAATAAGGATAATAAACCTCTCCTGACATCTCAAGAGTCTTTAAAACCTAAATAAACTTATTAAAGCGCTTCATAAACTATAGATCTCTAATTAAAGGTAGAAAATAAACTATACACAAGTAATCTGAGATCAGCCAAACTAGAGGTGAAGATATACCCTAAAAATACAGTTGATTATTTAGGATGCAGTCGATTATTTAGGATTGAGTCAATTATTTAGATTTAATCCAAGTATCAAGAAAAAAATTACACAATGAAAATGTATACTTAAAATATAACAGTGCTAGGATGAAGGGTCTTCCTCCTCTTATCACTATAATACCGTATATATTCTATAGAATTTATTTACACAACAGCAGACATGACTGCAGACAAAACCTTTTCTAATTTGTACAATCTCAGAAAGCACTATGGAGTGGTAAGTAGTACCATAGTTAACAGGAATTTTCCCTCTAAGACTTGTGTAGATACAAGGATGGAGATTACCTGCCTCAAAAATTTTCAATGTAGTTAAAACTGGTCTATGTAGGAAAAAGATGACTGATAGAATAGAAATTAGAAACGAGAACAAGAGTATGCTTAGAAGAACCAACTCGCTTTCCTATTTGGGAGAAATACATTCAGGGAAGGCAACTTAAATCTCCCCTAGCTTAACCACTTTAGATTCATACATACCCATATAGAATCTAACTTGTCCTTAAGTAGGAGGGCTTCTGTATTTTATTGACAGGGTTTGGGAATCTGTCTTAAAAGCTACTAAAAGAGAACTACGAATAAAAGTAAACCAAACAGTTAAAGAACTCTAAACCAGAGAAACAAATAGTAAGTGCTGATCTACATCTAATCTGTATCTTATCTTAGGAAAGCACCTGTTATACACACATAAGGGAAAACTTCAAACCACCCTAGAGACTACATCAATGTTGTAATGAGCATCATTATTACTTAACACAGACAGAATTCTAAAATCAGCCTCCCAAGGTTTCTAAAGCTAATTCCAGAGACTGTCACTGTATCATGTGCATGACTAGGTTACTTTACATAGCAAAAGGGACTCAGAAGCTGTAAATTATGGTTACTATCAGTTGACCCTAGAAGTAGGGAGAGTGTTTTCATTTTAAGGGCTTAGGTGGTTAGATTACATATATAATCCAGAATAATCTCTATTTTAGGGTCAACTGACTGATTGTTGTTGACCCTAAATAGAGATTATTCTGGATTATATATGTAATCTAACCACCTAAGCTCTTAAAATGAAAACACTCTCCCTACTTCTATTCCACCACTAGCCACAGATGAAGTCAGATACAAAACACAAGAAAGATTTGATACATCACTGCCGGCGCTGGGTGCAAAAATTAGAGCGTGATCAATGCTCACTAAAAGCAACTCCTGGGCAACACCAGTAAGGAAAGGGACCTCAGTCCTACAGCAGCAAGGAATAGAATTCTGCCAGAGGGCTCTGAACTCCAGATGCTAAGTGCCTACATAAACCAGCTCCTGGGAATAGAGTAGTGAACAAAACAGGTTAAGAATCACTGCCCCCATGGAGCTTACAGTCAATAAAAAAATTTTAGATAGAAATTCAGTAAGTACCACACTTAACATATGTTAAACATTCAAAGCAGACCAAACTTCCTTATACTCATGTCAAGAGGGTTAAGAGACTTTGATATTATCACCCTAGCATTCTACCTTACATCAGTAATTTTTTACCTTCAATGGGCCACAATAGCCTCAACTCTAAACTAAGGCTAATAATACAAACTTCACAAAATCATGTGCAAGATAAAATGAAAAACACATACATCAACTGTTTCCTAACAAACTAATCTCACACATATGTTGAAGGAAAAAATTATGAGACAAAAGAATATACACAGTGTGACTCCATTTACATAAAGTTCAAAAATAGAAAACTATAACCAATATTGCTTAGGGCTTTTTCATAAGCAGTTAAACTATTTTAAAAAAGCAAAGAAACAATAAGGACAAAAGTCAGGATAGTGATGAGTGGATATGGGGGCGATCTGGCTGCAACATCTGTCACTGAATAGATTGCCAGGGTCGATTCAGCTGATCTGGCTGGTGAGGCAGGTGTCCCCTTCCTTCCTCACTGCTCCATGTGTGTCCCTCCCAAAGCTGCATGCTCAGTTGAAGAGGACAACCTTCCCCAATACAGAAAGACCATCCTTCAGTCAAGGGCATACGAGGAGCTGCATTCCCCTGCTAGAACCTCCAAACAGGCTCTCAAGGATAGTGATTACTTCCAAGAGAAAGGAGTGGGCTTGTGAACTGAGCAGGGTCCTGGGAGAGGTGAGAGAGAACTGATGAATGTTTCATTTCTTGACCTGTGTGATGGTTACACAAGTGTTTGCTTTACAATTATTATTCAATTGTACAAGTATATCTCGGAAATTTTTCCATGAATATATTGTATTTTACACTCAAAAAGAAATAAATCAAGATCTGGTGGTACAGTGGTTAAGGTATTTGGCTGCTAACCAAAAGGCTAGTGGTCTGAACTCACCAGTCGCTTCATGGAAGAGAGGTAAGACAGTCTGCTTCCATAAAGATTTACAGCCTTGGAAACCCAATGGGGGTTGCTATGAGTTGGAATCACTTCAGTGGCAGTTGAGTTTGGTGTTGTTTTTTTTATAAAAGATCAAATAGTAACATACATAGTGGTACAAGGTTTGAGGTTTGTTTGTTTTTTTCCAAATAGTAAAATGTTATGACCTCTACACAATGTCTACTTAAGAGATTTGCAGGTCAAAAAATAAATAAATAAAAATAAAAGAGATTTGTAGGTCAGAAGTTCACCTTATCTTCTTGGGCAAAAGGAAGGGAAAAGGAGAGATTTTTATTTTAGAACAATTAATAACACAGGCCTTTACCTTCCAAAACAAAATTAAAATTGAGAGGTTCCTTTCTTAACTTTACTGTTTTAACAGATATTTTTTATTCTTTTAAAAGGAGAGAACTCATTATCAGGTTAAGAATAACTGATGGATCAAACAATGTAAACATCTTAGAAATAACAATGACTGGAAGAGTCACGTTCCAGGGAAGTCAGTTATTTTAAAGCCATTTATGAAGCAACCTATTAATTATCTCTTCTCTACAACACTAAATAATGAACAGTTATTCTTTTCTTCTTCTTTACCTCATGTTCACTTTCCCTTTTCTTATGGTCATCTATGTCCAATTCCTTCTCTGCTCATTTTAGTTAAAAGCACCTAAGCACCTACCAGCCACTCCTCGGAAGGAAGGTTGGGCATTCCTACTTCCATAGAGATACTGCCTCGGAAACCCAAGGAGGGGTCGCTATGAGTCGGGGCCGACTCGATGGCAAATAACAACAACAACAACAAAGCACCTACCTAGCCCAACCTCACAAATATCCAATTAATCTTTTATTTTTTTATTGTGATTTGGGTGAAGATTTACACAGCAAATTCACTTTCCATATAGCAGTTTACATATATTTTGTCTCATGTCATTGACCACGGTTTACCACAATGCAACAGCTCCCCTCCCACTTCCTCGCCATAGTTACCTCTTCCCAGCATCCATCCCTCCACACACTCCTGCCCCCTGAGCTATCTCCCTGTGCATAAGCAGCGCTTCTTTCTCCCATGACATCCAATTAATCTTTAACCCTCTTCTCAGTCTTCATTTTTAAGATTCCTGCCTCAAAATAATCCATGATGTTCCACAGAAAAATTAACTATGTAATTGAAAGAGAGTAATTCAATAATAAGCTCTTCAAAGGCTGAATCCTTATCAAGTTACCTCCAGATATACTTGAACAGCAAAGGGAATCAGATGTTAAAAGTCTTATATTCAAGCCTGTGCTATCAATTACTACTTCCGTGACCTTGGATAAGTCCCTTTACCTCTGAATATCAATTCTCTCATGTGTAACATAAAGACGATAATTATATCTGTTCCACTCATCTCACAAGCTTGTCTGGAGTATCAAGTGAGATAATAAATGTAATACCTCTTGCAAACTATGAAGCCTTCCAGGAACATTACCATCCTTTTACCTATCTTCCTTCAGTGCCCGAATATGTTGTGTTGTTGTTATGTGCCGCCGAGTCGGACCCAACTCA